CCCCAAAACCCCAAAACCCCAAAACCCCATATGAGATTCAATTTAAAAATTTTGGAGGTGAATTAATTAATATTTATTGAATTTCTCCTATCATTAATATATTTTCTTATGAAAAAAACTAGCTCCAAAAGCAGACATATTCATTATCAACAGTTTAACAAGAGCAATTTCTTGCTCAGAATTTCAACTATCATAGGAATGAAAATCATCTCAACTATTGAAAATATTCCTCAAATACCATAGCTATAATATTTCCTTGCATCATGATTAAATATCGTGAAGGTTTCCCATGTGTAATTAAAGTTCTATCTTAATATTTTAATAAAAATATATTAATTAACCTGCTCCATAATAATTACTTATTGATTTATCATTATTAGTTAAATAAGAATGGATAATTTCAACGAAGAAAAGAAGTTTCAGAATTAGAATAATATAAGCATTAACAACTTTAACAATGCAAATGATTAATCCCCTGACTAATACAATAACGAACACACAAACTAGATCTAGGAAATTTAGAAAGAGGAGATTAGACAGCTAATTGATCAAGTAAATATCAAGACTAAGACACTTAAACAAGAAAAGAAAGCCAAGACTGATCTGGCTCCATATCTTAAGATCTTACTAACCTACGCTGACAAGAATGACAAAATATTGATTGCTTTCGGCTATATTTTCTCTATTCTAACTGGTGTTTGTCTGCCCTCATTAGTATTCTTGTTTGGAGATATTGTTAACTCATTTACTGATGGAAAAATTCTAGAGGGGATCAAACCTACATGCCTCCAATTTACTGTCATTGGCATAGTAATATGGATCACCTCTTATTTCTACTATGCTCTCTTAGTTATTATGTCATAGAGAGTTGGACAAAAGACTAAAGTTGCTTATCTAAGAGCTATTCTTTAATAAGACATTTCTTGGTTTGATTAGATAAGCGTTACAGAACTGTCTGCAAGACTTACAAAAGAATGTCAAGCAATTCAAATAGCACTAGGTGAGAAAATGGGCACTATTCAGCTTGCTTTTGCAATGTGCCTATCAGGTTTATTCTTAGCCTTCTTCAGAGGGTGGTGGTTCTCATTAATACTATCCTTCCCTATCTTTATCCTTTTTGGAAACACTTATTTAATAACCGTGGCCATGTAAAGTGGGTTCATGCAAAATTTGAGATCATATGGATAGAGTGCAGGATATGCTGAGCAAGCTCTCAATGCTATCAAAGTAGTACAAGCTTACGGGATGGAGACAACTGAGATGCTCAACTATAACAAATATCTAGGCAAAGCTAGAACAACTGGTGTTTGAACTCATTTGAAGAGTGCTCTAGCCATAGCTGGATTTTTCTTTTCTTTATTTGGCTACTATGGCTATGCCTTATATACTGGAAGTTGGCTAGTTACTGAAAAAGTTACTAATTCAAGAACTCACGATCCCTACAATGCTGGAGATATTATAGCTTGCCTATTTGGAGTAGTGTTTGGTGTGTTCTCTCTAGGTTCAGCAACTCCAAATATCAAGGCAGTGACTGAAGGAAGAGTAGCTGGAAAAATGGTATATGAACTGATTGACAGAGTCCCAGCCATTAAGCTTGATGATCAAAGTTACCATGAAGTCGGGAAAATTAAAGGTAAAATAGAATTTAAAAATGTCACATTCACCTACCCATCAAGACCAGAACAGAAGATTCTTGATGACTTTTCTGCCGTATTCGATGAGGGGAAAACAACTGCAATAGTTGGGGCATCAGGTTCAGGAAAAAGTACTATTATTCAAATGATAGAGAGATTTTACGATCCAGCTCATGGAGATATTTATATTGATGGAAAGTCTATAAAGAATCTTAACCTAAGAGATCTCAGACGCAAGATTGGGTATGTTGGTTAAGAGCCAG